ACAACTAAATATTCCAGTAAGTCAAATAGTCTGGAATAAACACTTCAACTATTTGTGACAATAATCTCAAACCAAAATCTATGAGCATAGTTTCTATAGTATTTGAGAGTAGCAGCATGTGTACTGCATTGAAATATTTGCCGAGAATCATTCATTAGAGAAAAATACAAATATAAAATAGTATCAATTATTGTTTTCGTCTTTTTTTCTAGAGCTGTGGTCTGGATGTTTCAAATGATGATCATAGTAGTGATCATACATTATCATTAAATATAGATGAATGTAGTGTACATGGCATACACAGACGGCGTGGTTTTGGTGGTGGTGCTGCTCGTCGTCCCGTATTACCACACGATCATAATCTATCAGATGAGGATGAACGAGATGAACAACGATCGTTATGTGGTGGAGCTTTATCACAAATAGAAGGTAAAACAGATCCAGATGCACAATCAGAAGTTGATAGACGAGAATTAATGGAATCAAATACACTCGAAAATTTGGATGATTACAATGACATTCGAGAATGGGGAGAAAACAGAATGTCATACCGCAAAAAATTCATTATCATGGCTGGTTTTATACTGTTGTGCATATGCTGTCTGATCGATTTGAAGATGTTCTTTTCTAAAAAAGTAAAAATAATATAAAATAATATAAAACAATATTAATATAGCATCCATATTTCATTTACAATCTTCTAACAACTAAATATTCCAGTAAGTCAAATATCAGCAGTCACTGAACAGTCAAAAATTAATTTTCTACACTTACGTTTTTCTAAAATTCGGATGATCGATTAAGTTTTTACTTTGTGCTACTGAATAATGTTGTTGTGAACCAAATATCGTCGATGGTTTTAAGTGTTGAAGTCGTTTTTTTGGTTGTTCCTGCTGTTGTCTCATATCACTTGTCATATTATGTTGACTACTATTGCTACTTGGCAATGTTGTTGTTGTTGGTAAAGGTTGACTGCTATCTGATGGAGTAAGTTTTGTTGGTGCTGATAAATCGATGCGAAAATAATTATTAATGTCTTCCGATGTCAGGGCGTCGGTCGTATATAAAGTATGACCGGGTGCCAAATACTGAGGTTTTGTATGTAATCGAGCGGCCATCTAAAAAGTAAAATAAATAAATATTTGCTTCAACAAAACAATAACCAAAATCCTGGAGAAAAAAAAAGATGCACAATGCATAAGAGTGAAAAGAAAGACACGAATATATCATCAAGTCCAGTACAGCAAGTTTCTTTTGCTTAACATAAAAATATTAAGAATACCTCTTCGAAATTTTTCTTTTCTCGATTTTCTATCTTTATGCAAGTATACATTATGATTTACGATTGTACGTGCTTAATTCAACCAAAGTCAGACAAAAGAGTGAAAAAACAAATATATGGAACAGTGAAAGATATCTTCATCTTAACTGTTTTTGAGGAAAATCTATTCTACGTAAGTAAGTGAATAAAAGGTTCTTATTTCCTGCATTTTGCGTTTCTAAGGGAAACAAAATTACTAGATGGAGTTTTAAATCTGATCAAATAAGGGTAATAATACCCGAAATTTTATCGGTACTTCTATACAACTATTATACTTAGTTTCATTGCTATGAAGTATTTTGTGAAAGTACTCGCAATTTTACTTAACAAATACTGGTTCAGTGAGGCAAGCATTTACAAGTAAATTTACTGCTAGAAAAAATGCTAGTATCGGGTTCATTACGCAAAGGAAGTACTTTTGTCTTGCATAATCGAACCAACAGATCGGACATTTGCTTTTTGACCGACAGAACGAGGAAAGAACAAATAGAAGAAAAATATTCTCCTAACATTATGTATTTTCTGGATCACTATCAAAACAATATTGATTCGTTGACTTCCGTTGTATCATATGTTAATCACGCGCGATTAGCCAGGCATCAATGTGCTGAACGTGAACAGATCGAGGTAAGTTAAACGAAACAGTACAGCTTAGCTTTTAAGTCTAACTTATTCTGACCACGTGCATGCATATGAACAATTTGACTCGCATCTTGTTTTTCATTCTTTACTTTTTCATTAGATAAAAGTTAGAGAATGAAAACTGTACGTCAGTAAACATTTTTCTAACTTTCATTTCTGTCTAGTCTGATTCAACTGTTTTGACTATGACTATCAGAAAGCAAAACATTTATAAAATTTTCAGTTTTTTACTGAAGTTTTTGATGAGTTGTTGTTATAATTGTATAAGTTTGTATCCTTGCGACATGTACTATGTATTAATGAACTTGTAGCAAAAATTAAACCGAATTTAAATCATTTTTCTACCATTAGATATCTAATTCAGTTTAAAACAAGCCAAAACTATGCAAGTACGTGTGTGCAGATTTCTCCAACAGAACTACACAGATTTGGTAATTTGCAAAATTCTGTATAGAATTTTAGCAGAATTTATGCACAGATCTGTCATAGATTGTTCCAGAATATCGACAGATTCTTTAGAATTTTTGCAGATGATATAGTGCACGCTGCAAGCCATTACTTTATCTCTAGTCTCTATACATGCTTTTATTTTCTCTATTGGTCAATCATACAAGAGCTGGCGATTTTGAATTATTAATTGTTGAATTTTCAGAAAATGAGTTAATTCTCTGAAAAATCTTCCATGATTTCTCAGACTGTAGGATAGAAAATTCTTAGACAATTTCTACTTGCTAGAAAACTGACATTTTAGAAAATCCAATGTATTTTCTAGAAAATATAAAATCAGGAGTTTTTATTTATTATAAAATTATTAACAGTTTTATAAAAACTGGAAAATGCTGATGATTTTATAATCGATTTTTCATAAACTAGAAGAAAGTTTCTGCTAACAGTGCATATAAATGAAAAAACAGCGATAAATTAATTGATTTTTTTGGTCATCGTATTTGATGCAATCAGGGGCTTCCGATATCTCGGAGGCAGGAGGGAGGGGCGAAGTCAATTTCGGAGTAAATTTTTATGCTTTTAAAAATTAGAGTAAAACTAAAAAAAACATAAATATTCTAAGCAGTTTTCGTCTAAAACAAGGCTGAATTTCTTTCTATCTAACTCTATTTACTTCAACACGTAGCTTATAAAAATACATTTACTGAAGTAATGACGCAATCTATTCTACTTATCTTATCTTATTCATGTACATGACAGAAATTTTATTTTCTATCAAACACAGAAAGAGAAAAAACAAATGCTTTACTCTAAAGATGGAAGTCTATGCTGTACTCCGAAAATAGAAGTAAATATCTTACTTTTGAAAAGAGAGTAAATTCCTAACTACGAAACTGAGAGTAAGCCTTTTACTC